TATAAGAGTAATGGCGCCATCTACTCTGTCGTATTTTGATAATAGACATATGTAAGCTTCATAAGAATAACAATTCATAACATATAAAAAAACATAGATATATAAAATACAAGATAACATAAAATATATAAAAATACAGGATAACTATGATGTTTTTCGTATAAATATAAGATATAAAATAATGATATACGGAAGGAAAGAAAATTTAAGAGAGCGTATAAAAAAAGTTGTAAAATTTTTTATACTATTTCGTTTCATATTCTTCGATCAAATGATCCACTTTTTTCTCCAGGTCATCGGACGTTCCTTCATTGGTTTCCTTGAAATCCTTATTTCGTGCCCTTCGTAGGACAATTAATATTATGACAATTACCACAATCCAGTAAGAAAAGTATCCGCAGAACGTTCCAACCGTGGATTTGTTGTTCCATCCAAAAAGTGAATGCATTATCCGCCAGAAATTATCGCTTTCGGGATCGCAGCAATTGAGAGACCATAGTTGAATTCCTGGATTTTTGGAGACCTCTTGAAATTCTCCGATGGCTGTAACAAAAAGACCGGCGGCAATGAATAACAAGAGCGTGGTCGTGGTGATGATGAATATGTTCAAGGAAACTTTGTGGGATCCGTGGTAGATGATCCAGCCGATTATAAATCCCGAAGCTATACCAAGAACTATTGGGATGGGAAGGCCGGTGGGGGATTTTTCAAAGCCAATCTATAAGCGTGTTCAATCAAAAGTTAACCATTTATCTCGCAGAGAGTTACGCACAAAGGTTAGGTGGCATGGAACGTTTAATTACCCCTGCCATGAATATAACAGATTCTAAACCTTCACGACAGACAACCGTGAAAGGCAAGAGGACCAAGGACCACCTTCCTCCACTCTCACTTTTCCCAAGGTAGGATTCTGTTGCACCTCGTAATTTGTCTTCCCACTTTTTCCTCCAGTGAGCAACCCTTAACATGCCTACCGACATGACAGTTATGACCACTGAGGCGATGAGGCTAAGTGTTCCCTCTATTTTGATAAAAATGAAAAAAAAAATGAGGACATACAGCGTCTTGAAGATATGTGATGTATCGAAAGAAAAAAACCTACCCCAAATAGGTTCACTTTCTTCCCACAAGTTCCTGGCCAGGGTGTAGAAGATGGTAATAAACACCGCTCCAATGACTAGTGAAAC